TTCTCCTCGTCAGGCACAGCGGCAGGACAAGGCCGTTCATCTTTTGGAGGGGGACAACAACAGGAACGCAGTGGTGGGCCCAGTACTGGCAGCGGTCCTTCTGCCGGTGGAGGTGTTTCGGCCTCGGCGGTGGGTCCACAGACCGGAACTCGATCGGGGAGCAATTTTCGTTGTTTTGAGTGTGGTGAAACGGGGCATCGTCAGGCTGCTTGTCCTCGACGGGGTGGGTCGCGAGCTTTGATGACCGGAACTGGAAATGATGTCGAGGATGGTGATATTTACAAGTCAGCCCCTATTTTTGACGAAGAACCTGAAGTTACAGAGGAACATTTGCGTGGAGATGTCGGTCGTGCTCTCGTCCTTCGACGCTCTTTTTTATCACCAAGGGTGGAATCTGGTAGTTCTGTTCAACGACATGCCATTTTTGAGTCAACATGCACGGTCGAGGGGAGGGTTTGTCGATTCATCATTGATTCGGGCTCCTGTGAAAATGTAGTGGCCAAAGATGCTGTGGAAAAACTACACTTAACTACCGAACCACATCCTCATCCGTACACTTTGGCGTGGATTCAACGAGAATCCGCTATTACAGTGGACAAACGTGTGTTGTTACACTTTTCGATAGGAGATAAGTACAAGGACTATGCCTGGTGCGATGTCGTGCCCATGGACGCATGTCACATATTACTGGGCCGGCCGTGGCAATTTGACAAGGCCGCTACTCACGACGGCCGCCTAAACACTTATAGCTTCTTGTGTGATGGTGTTCGGATTGTACTACACCCATCTCCTCCACGTCAGGTACCGGTTGCCACTTCTTCTCCTGTGCTTTTGTTATCTCATACAGAGTTTGCTCGAGAAATGCAGGGGTTCCCATTTTTATTTCTTCTTGTGTGTTCAGATTCTTCCATCCAAAGAGAGCCCCCAGTTGCTATTCAATCTTTATTGGAGGAATTCAGCGATGTCTTTCCGGATGCGCTTCCGGCCAGACTTCCTCCTCTACGGGATATACAACATCATATCGACCTGGTTCCAGGTGCTTCCCTCCCAAATAGGCCACATTATCGTATGAGCCCCAACGAACACGAAGAACTACGGAGACAGGTGGAGGAATTATTACAGCGGGGTGTCGTTCGACGTAGCATGAGCCCGTGCGCCGTCCCGGCATTACTTATTCCCAAACCAGATAAGTCTTGGCGTATGTGTGTTGACAGTCGGGCCATTAATAAAATCACCGTACGCTATCGGTTTCCCATTCCGAGGCTCGACGATCTATTGGACCAGCTACATAGAGCATCGATTTTTACTAAGTTGGACCTTCGGAGTGGTTATCACCAGATTCGCATCAGACCTGACGATGAGTGGAAAACTGCGTTCAAAATACGTGAGGGCCTTTTTGAATGGTTGGTCATGCCTTTCGGTCTGTCCAATGCCCCCAGTACCTTCATGCGAGTGATGAATCAGGCCTTGCGCGACCTTATTGGGAAGTGTGTTGTCGTTTATTTCGATGACATCCTTATCTACAGTCGTTCCGTTGAGGATCATCTTGACCACGTCTGCTCGGTGTTGCTAGTTCTTAGAGCTGAGGCTTTCTATGCAGCTCCTCAGAAATGTTTCTTTCTCGTCTCTTAGGTGTTGTTCTTGGGATTCGTTATTTCTGCTGATGGTATTCGTGTTGATGACAACAAGATTGCGGCCATTCGGGATTGGCCGGCCCCGACATCTTTTACGGAAGCACGGAGCTTCCATGGATTGGCGTCATTCTATAGGCGTTTTATTGCTAACTTTAGCTCCATTACGGCCCCTATCACTGACTGCCTCACTGGGAAATCTTTTGTGTGGACCCCTCAGGCAGCCGAGGCTTTCGCTATTATCAAAGAGAAGCTGACGACAGCTCCAGTATTAGTGCTCCCGGACTTCTCACGACCCTTTGAACTCTCTTGTGACGCCTCCAAAGTTGGCATTGGAGCAGTCCTGGGTCAGGACGCCCGACCCGTTGCTTTTTTCAGCGAAAAATTATCGGGCCCGAGGTTACGTTACAACACATACGACGTGGAGTTCTATGCGGTTTTTCGGGCAGTCCACTACTGGCGTCACTATCTCTTTCAACGGGAGTTCATCCTCTACACCGACCATGAAGCCTTGCGACACTTGGCTTCTCAAGACAATATCTCAGCCCGTCATGCAACTTGGACGTCCTTTTTGCAGCAATTCACGTTCGTCCTTAAACACCGTTCGGGGACGTCTAATCGGGTGGCGGATGCTTTGAGCCGTCGCTCATTATTATTGACGGATTTGCGTGTCCAGGTGGTAGGCTTCGATCTTTTACGAGACCTGCATCCGTCTGACCCATTTTTCGGTCCCATTGTGCTTCGCTTGGCGTCCGG